GGGAGGGGGAGGGGTGTGACGGGGAGGGGACCCGGGGCGGGCCCCGGAAGCCTCCGGCCGGGGGGTTGCCCTCCAGCCCGCTCTCGGTGGGTCTTTCCTCAGTGAAACCCCTCAGCTTGGTGCTTGGCCGTGGCTGGAGGCGAGTGTTTGCCCTGTTCTGCGCCTTGCAGCCGGCTGGCACTGAAGAAGTCCAGGGAAAGGCCGTAAATCTCCGCCCAAAGCAAACATGTGCCATGCTTCCGTGAGCACTTTTGACGGTTTGCACTTAACCGTAATATTTGTATTTTCAGACTCTCCTCTGCATAAACCCACCCCTTTTTGAGGTTTATCAGACGCTGTTAAGCCCCACGCAGCATCATGTGGCGCTCATCGGCACGAAGGGGCTCATGGTGCTGGAGCTGCCCAAACGCTGGGGGAAGAATTCAGAGTTTGAAGGTGGGAAATCCACGGTGAACTGTAGGTGGGTGAGACCTCCCTCAGGTGGTTCACGACATCCTTGTCCTGCCGTCATTCCTCGACAGCCTCTCCTCTCGACAGCCTCTCCTCTCTCGAGGCCACACAGATATGGAAGATGTCGGTTGTATCGGGGTTGTAGGCACAAGCACAAATGAAGTTATTGTGGCTCAGGGACTTGCTGATTGTCAAGTGACTCAAATAAATGACCTTCTGAATTTATTGCAAACGCTGAGGGGCAAGGTGCTCCTCTGTAGCACTCTAGCCTTTCTGGGGTCTTTTAGCTGTGGTACTTAAAAGTGCGTGTTCCGATAGAAATAACAAAGGGCTTTAAGTTAAAGCTATCCCTCCAACTTTAAGAATAGTACAGCTAATGGCTTTGAAACTTTTTATTTGGGTTTCTAGCTCCTCTTGTCCCCGCTTCCCTTTAGAAATAACTTCTGTGTTTCTTGTAACTGCGTATTTGTGCTCTGCATTTCAGCACTGTTCCGATTGCGGAAAGGTTCTTCACAAGCTCAACATCTCTGACTTTAAAGCACGCTGCCTGGTATCCCTGTGAGACATTAGAGCCCCATATTGTGCTCTTGACTTCAGATAACACTATAAGGTAAAACCTATTTGTAACTGATCATCTATGAAATTTTTTTTGTCTCAGCCAGTCGGATTTTCTGCTAGATATTTGTGTCCTCCCATTCTTACCAGGATTACCAATAAAAAATAGGATGGGAGAAACTTTAGACTGATACTGTTTGATGTTCCTGCATCAGCAGGGACGCATGCGACACTGCCAGCTGGATGAACACTGCTGCTGTTTCTTCCCTCTAGGTTTTACAGTCTGAAGGTACCTCAGACACCCATCAAAGTGATTGCTCTTTCGGACGCTGAGGAGGAGACATTTACAATCAAAAAAGGGTTTGTGTGGCTTCTTGTATTTTGAAATGCTTTTGACAGAATAAGATCTGTATTCTCAGTTGTGGTTTTAATGAGTAAGTGATAAATCTACCTGAAAATCTGATTTTTTTTTGTGGACTTCTTCAATGCTAGGACTTCTTCCTAGCACAGTAACTGCCTTTTTTTTTTTTCTCTTTTCCCACCCTTGTAAAAGAAAGTGGTAACAAACTGTACAGTCAAGTGCTTGTCAGAGAAGTCCTTTGAAAAATGCACATTGTCTTTAAGATGGGGTTAAGAAGGGCTTTTTGAGTGGGGAATGCAGAAAATAGATGATCTTTCTATTTCCCTCTTGGCCCAGTCGGAAAGAAAGAACTTGAGGGTCTCTGCTAGTCAAGTCACAGACTGATGCACTACACAGGAAATACCAATACACCCTCCTCTCTTATCCTGCGAAACTGGGCTGGCTGGTGGGTGTATTGCAGAAATGAGGTGCCGTAAGAAGGTTGTTTATGCTTTTGCTGCTGAAAACAGCATTTGTCAAGGGACCGATGGACAGGTGTTGAGCAGTAACTTGTCAGCACATACCCAGTTAAACACGTGTGCTTTCACAATCTCTGCTGACTTCGGGTCCTGTTCTGACTTGTCCCTAGGAGAGCCTATACTGCATCACTGGGAGAGACCGCAGTGGCATTTGACTTTGGTCCGTTGGTGCCGGTCCCAAAGAACATTCTTGGACAGCGAGGGAGTGAAGAAGTGTTGGCCTACCCGCTTTACATTTTATATGAAAATGGAGAGACGTTCCTCACGTACATCAGCCTGCTACAGAGGTAGGCTTGCATCCTTCCTCAGGTTTCATGGAGTGCTTGTGAGTTTGTGCAACATTAGGGTTGGAGAGCCGCCGCTCAGCTTGGCTGGGACTCTGTAATGGACGCTGGACTGAGTTCTGTTGTGTTGCAGCCTGTTTTATCTCTTTGTGGCAGTGCTAATATACTGAAATCCAAGAATAGTGTGTCATTCTTTTTCATCCAGATGTTAAGGGTGCATTTTGCACTGCTGAGAATCCACTGTCCATTTTTTACAATCAGAAATTTGAAATGAAGACACCAGACTGTTAAAAGATCAATGGGTCTAAGGCTGTTAGGTGTATTTTGGAGCCTTCTGTTCACAGCGCAGACATTCTTCGCTTTGGATGAGGCTGAAAGAGCCAGTGGCACCTTAGGAAAAGAAATATTTTACAGAGGGTTTGCAGGCATGTTCTGTAATGCAATGTCAAGGATATGAATCAAGAATGTAAACAGGATACAAGAAAAAAACACTTCAAGAAAGCTGAGGAGATGGTGGAAAACTTAAAGTTAGATCTAGTGTAACTGAATATTAAAATGTGTGGTATTTAGGTTAGAAACAGCACCATTTGCCTCTGCATGAGAAATGGTGCAGCTTTGAGCAGATCCTGTCTGTAGGCAATGAAACAGGCTTAGTCCTTCCAAAGTTCTACCTAGAGAAATGCCAAGCCACAAAATGCTGCTTGTAAAGTGCTTTATTAAGCAAGAAAACAATTAAGTGATAAAGATAATTAACTTGAGCTTTTTGTGAGTGCTTTGTGATCTTGCATGAAAATGTTTCCTCTTGAATTTGTTGAAAGGTAGCTTGGCTGCTTTCAAAGCATAAAACCTTATTGCTGAGCTCCAGTTTCTTTTGCGAGATCTCCAGCAAGTAGGCAGAGTGCAGACTCTTAATCTGCAGAAGCCTGGGTTGCTACAATGTAATGGAAATTAAACAGAACTCCAAACCACTGGGTTTTGCCTGTTTTGTTTGGGTTTTTTTAACCACCTTTATTTTGTAGTTACTGTCCAACAAACTCCCACTGGCAGCCCTGGGGAACTTCTCCATCCACACCTTGTGTTGTGATCTTTATTCCAGCACTGGAAATCTTGGTAAGCTGCTTGGCCCTCTGCCCATGCACCCTGCTGCAGAAGATAACTATGGCTACGATGCCTGTGCTGTCCTTTGCCTGCCGTGTGTTCCAAACATCCTGGTGATTGCCACCGAGTCAGGAATGCTTTATCACTGTGTGGTACTGGATGGAGAAGAGGATGATGAGCAGGTACCTTGTCTTGTTTTTTTTCTATAGGTGTTTTTGTTTCTTTAGTCAAAGTTCCTGGCTGCAGGATGGCAGGATGCCTGGAAGTGACAGCCAAGTACCAAAGCTCCATTCTTTTATAATGAGGTAGTGAGTCTTCCTCCTATTCCAGCCAGTCCCTGTGATTCTCTGGTGATTTTATTTTACATGGCGGTTCTGTGTATCCTACAGGTATATCAGGTTTTGATCAAACTTACTGTGAGCTCTTTTAAAGGGGATCTTCTAAGAAGAAACCATGTTTCTGACAGAAACTTAGTTTTAAGAAAAAAAAATACAGAGACTTGAACTACTTTCCCTAGCAATTAATATTCTTGCCTATATTATGTAACTCTTTCTTGATGTTGTTTGTGTTGGCATTTCTATTTAAGTAATGTCTGACAGAAGAATTCAATGTTCTTTACAGTCAGAAAAGTCTTGGGACCCAAGATCTGATCTTATTCCTTCCCTGTATGTGTTTGAATGTGTTGAGCTGGAGCTTGCACTGAAACTGGCATCAGGAGATGAAGAAGAGCCTTTGGAGTCCGATTTCTCTTGCCCAATCAAATTGCATCGAGGTAAGGCTGTCATGTTGTTGGC